ACGCAATAGAGGGGCTAGCGTATTGCGTACGCACGCAACGCTGGGGATTTTGCGTTGCTGGCTACCGGGCCTTGCAGGACGCTCTCGAGAGATCTCGGACCCAACGAGAGCGTCAGTTTCAAGATGGCGGTTGCCTCGACTGGCGCAGCAAGGGCGACGTGGTGTTTTCGAAGTTCTGTGTTACGTAAAATTGCGTGGTGTTCAGCTCGGCGGTTCTTTCTGGGACCTACCGCGGTCGAATCAGATCGCCAGCTGAAGGAGTGCACAGAGGAAATGTTCGCCGCTCGCAGTGTGCGTCAACGCTGCGATATGATCAACGCTAAGCCTATTCCCACAGTTCATCGCCGACGGACGAACGACTCTAAAAGAAATCGCCGAAGTTCTCACTATGCAGTGGACATCAGGGTCATGAATTTCATTCCGCGATAGCATTGATAAAAGGTGCCGTTTCCACGGGACGACTGACGGAGGCTCCGTGATCGAATTTGGCTACGCAGTCGTACTCGTAGCCTCTGTACCCCGCAGAAAAGCGCGCTTGACGAGGCAGCTGTGGCTTGGTTTAATCTGAAATAAAATGATTCGACACTTTTTCTTTTTCAATATTTCTTTCCAGTGGCCCTAAACTCGTCAAACACAAAGTTGGAGCCGAACGTTCGCGCAGCGCGCCGATTGGACGTCGGCGAAAAAAGCGCGAAGTCATCGTCGTGAAAGGCCAATCGGTGCGCTCCGCCAACTTCTTCCCAACTTTGTGTTTGACGAGTTTAGAGGCCCAGGAGCATGGTTGCGCTATAAGCACGCGGAATTCTACGGCCTCTAGCAAATTTAACCAAGAACATGCGCGGTGTTCACTCGAAAACGTAACGCACAACTAAATTCGGTCCGAGCAGGTAATTTTTAGCGTACGCTATACTATTGCGTATTGCGTACGTAAGATCCAGCAACGCTATACTAAAACTGTCTAATAACAAACAGCGCGCGTTGGAACGAAGGAGGGAGGGAGTCTTGGCGTCAGAATTGGACGTAGCCTAAAAGAAAAGGAAAGTAATACCCAATCCTACCTCTACCCCCTATAGGGTGTGGAGGTAGTTTGGACTACCTAAGAGAATTGACAGTTTACTGGCTCGGGGTGTATGTTACCATGCCTTAGAGGCGGTCTATTAGATCAGCGTCTTATAAAGGCCCTGTCACACTGAGGCAACAGGAGACAACTCTATCCGGCAACACGAGGAAATCGTGTTGCCGGATAGAGTTTGTCAGCCTGTCACATCGCGGCAACAACAACAGTCGGACATGTTGCTGCCGCCCGGCCACCGTGTTGTCCGAGGTAGTTGTCCGACAACCCTGTCAAACCGCGCTCACGGCGGGGGCAACACGGGGAACACTCCGCCATTTTGATTATTTACCTCCGTTTGTGTGCGGCGCGGCGTCGCTGGAAGTGTGACTCTGCAGAGTGTTAGTGCGTTCGAAGAGCCGGAAATTACAACGAGACGACAGCAACCAGTGACTGTGATTAGAAAATTTGACACGAATGGTATTTTTCGCCCTTTATTTTATCAAACTATTCTTCATTCGCTGACAAAGCAGATAGCCGTAACCGAGAAAAACTGCATGAAGTGTTCCTGTCCGGTTCTTTCCTTCATGCAATACCTATTTCTACTGTAAAATTGAGCTAGCACCGGCAGCACCGCGAAGCGTCTTTTGTAGCGTGGTGTTGAGCTGAACTGACAGTGCTTAGCAACTGTGACACCGACACGATCGGCCTTTAGAACAAGCGGTGGAATATATATTTTTAACGCTGTCTTTTTGCCTACCGCCCTGCTATGGGATCGCTTCGTTCCCCAAAACGTCCTGGGTATTTTTGAAACAAATCTGGTGTCTGATAACGGCTGTTCCCAAGTTCCAAGCGTCAACAATTATGGTAAAGGCCGGTTCTCACGTGCAGCGAAGCGCTGATGTAGCGCTCCTCACGTGCCGTCAGCTACTTATCGTCTGCCATGAGCAACAGTTTTGACGGTGCGATACAAAGCTGATGAACGCTCCCATCAGCACGCGCTTAGCGCGAGGTCATCGCTATGCTTGTAGCACTCCGCTGCATGTGTGAACAGGCCTTAAGAGTGGTCGTTTTAATGCTTCGATTTTTTAGTCGTCGTTTTTTTTCCTGGTTGTTTTATTATACTTTATCAAGTGAGTAGGCATGCCGTTTTATTTCACAAGCAGAAATGTTAGCCTGGTCTCTCGGCAGTTCTAATTTCAACACCAGTCTGAACGTTCACGATCGTAGCTGTGACCATTTCGACAATGGCTTTCCGCAATTACGCAGTAAAAACAGTCATCAAATTATTTTATCTGCACGCCAGCCTTAAGTATTGTTAAATAACGTATTCAACATCTTTATTCGAGTAAGACGTTATGGATTGGGAACTAGCTTTGCCATCGAAGCTATCTCTGTTGTGTTGCCGGCCCGAAATTCGCTCAGCCAGCGATCAGAGCAACAGACGTTGTCCAACAGCTGCTGCTGCTGTTTTTGTTGCCGAAAGCTGTCATACCGAGGCAACATTTTAGTTGTCGTCCAAGTTGTCCTCCTGTTGACGCCATGTGACAGCTTTGTCGGACAACACGGGGAGCGAGCAACAAGTTGCCCGACTGTTGGACAACGTGTTGTGTTGCTGTTGCCATCGTGTTGCCTCAGTGTGACAGGGCCTTAAGAATGCTGTGAGTAAGGCGAATGTTCTAGTGGCTTTTCTCCCCAGGCGCTTACTGAGCCTGGGGAGAAAAGAATGTCTTCAGTCGTCGCGTGGGCAACTTCTGCGAGCTGCAGCCCATTTGGGAGACATTTCCTCGCGTCCGCTAGATTTGGACAGACCCAGATGAAGTGTTCTAAGTCCTCGGAAACGTTACAGCTTGAGCAGTTCGGGCTTACCGTCGGGTTCAGATGATGAATTGCCTTTGCAGTGAAGGCACACCCAGTGCGAAGTCTATTCAGAATGGAGGTGCTGGCTCGTGAAAGCTTTGGGGGCACACGTGCGGGTGGTCTTCCGCCAGAGATTCGCGGATCAGGCTGTTGTCGCTTTATTTCTCTGTGTATAAGTTGTCTCGCCTCGTGGATGCTTAATACATAGAGTGTTGGCGCATTAAAGGGGTGCGCTTCTGCTGCGAGACAATCGGCTGTCTCGTTGCCTGTGATGCCAACGTGTGAGGGGAGCCAATGAAATGCTAATTGCCAGCCTTTCGTTTCCAAGTTTCTTGGTGTGTGAGCTGCGTACCGTGCATATTTGGGGGGGGGGGCATCGTCTAGGTTGCTGAGTAGTCTTGACTTAAACAGCGCAAATAAGTTACGTAAGGAATAGACAACAGCCCAGCAACTCATTTTGGTGCTGAGTAGTCCCAGAGCTGCCCTGGAGTCCGTTAGAAAGACTGCCTTTTCGCAGTCGGAGATGTCGTCAAGTGCTTCAAGGTCAAGCCAAAGAGCGGCTAGCTCAGCGGTTGTGGAGGAGGTATGAAAACAGAGTTTTTTTTATCTGGTCCCATCAAGTTCTCGGCTGGAGATTGCTGCAGTCGATGATTCACAGCTGTAAAGCACCGAGCCATCGGAGTAGACACGTACCCGTTCTAGGAAAAATTACTCTATTAGCTCTTCAGCGAGGCCTCGGGCGATAACTTGTTCCGTAAGTTGTTTGTTTCTGAGCATGGGAATGGACTGATTGATATTCAGCGATCGGGCGTATAATGGTGGAGCTGGGTAGATCATATTAGAGGCTTCTATACGCCCTTCAAACTCTGTTGCAAGATATCCTAGACGAGAGAGGGGACGGCTGCACTAGCGGTTCAGGGGAGAACCCGTAGACTGGCAGGTCGTTCGGCGTGCGATGTGGCGAACCGTCAGTTCTTTGCATTGGTTATTTACAATGTCCGTCCTTCCTTCTACTAGCGTCGGAATGTTAAGTGAGTACCTGGGTAGGTATATATCCTAGACATAAAAGAAAAGAAACTCGTAGGAGTGGTTCAATGGAGCTCCCACTTCTAGGACAAATAAACAAAAACTGCGAAAAGAGGGCAACGATATAAAAACTAAAATCTCATTATATATCTCTGATTGTACTTGCTTTCATGTGCATCGACCAGGAAGGTGAAACTTTGTACCACGCAACACGCATTCTGGGCTGCAAGTATTGCTAGCAAAAAGATGAGCAACCCTTAGTGTACGGTTTCTGAACTCCATGTTTGAGTGTGTTGTTCACTGGGCATGACCAGAAGTAATTTTGATGGTGGGGAATGCACGTTGGATAATCACAGTGAAAGTTCGCTCTCGTCATGTGCTTAGCAGCCACAGACTCAGCTACGGCCATCAGTAGATACCCCCCCCCCCCCCTCCCCCGCCGCAAATAGTTAAATACACCCCCGAGATGCCAAACTGAATGTTTCTGTATTTGTTAAAAAAAAAAAAAAAAACATTAAAACGCTTTTTTTTTTTTCAATGTTATCGTTTTTAGCGGTTTTACATAATGCCCTGCAAGTTTCGCAGTATACCTTTATCTTTATAAGAACAAAACGTTATTAATGAAAATCGTATAAACTCTTTATAACTTCGAACGCTCTTCAACCTCTACATTTTTTGGTGCTTTTTGCAGGAAATGCTTTTCATGCGTTCCCTGGAACACCCTGCATATAATAACAGCCGACCTTATATACTGGGTAGTTAAGAGGTAGTTATACAAGTAGAGAAAGCGAGCGCTAGGGTGTAAGACGACCTAGACATTTGACATGTAGTAACGGAGTTCCCTCACACTGTTAATTCGGGAACACCCAATATACAGTTCATATCCCTACTATTCAAACGCAGAAAGAACAAGAACAGCAGTTACAAAAACACTCCAGATTAAAAACATAGGCTTTATATAGTCGGTAACAAGTCAAAAGTACAGAAGAAGCTCAGAAACGTTCGTAATCAATGGCGTAAATTATATCGCCGTGGCTCACCAAAGAATAAAGATTAATCACACTTATTGGGAGACGTTGCAAATGTCTGGTTTTGCAGAACCCAGCCTAGAGCAGACCAACCCGAAGAGATTCGACATGGCTTCTTCCTGAAACAGTTTGCTGTGCCGACCGTCAACCTCTATGTAAGGAACGTAGGTTATATGGGGGACTAAATCCCACGTCTTCTGTCCCATCTTGTAGAAGAGCAGCGAACCCAGCTTTGACTTGACGCAGCGATCGATGATTTTCCAATTTAGACCAATGGCTCCGGCGCACGCTTGTGCCACGTCCAGTGGCGATTTTGAAAGGGACATGCAGTTGACGTACTCGAGGCTTTTGTAGCGCGCACTCGTCATTGCTATGGCACATGTCTGTATCATGTTGGCCAGACATTCTTTGTTGCCGTGATGGCACTTTATTTCTATCACCTTTTTGGCGTCCTTTCTGGTGAAGTTTTTCATGGTGGCGAGCCCGAACGGTACCAGGCGGATTTCCACGAGCTTCCCAAGCTTTTCGTACGTAGGCCACAGCTGGTCAGTGATAAAGCGCTGACTGAAGGGGCAGTACGATTCGTAGAAGAGTCGGACCTTGACGACGGTTGAAGTGGACACAACCTTGGATGCTTCAGGTATGGCGTGACCTTGGCTGAGGAAAAACAGCGTTAACCATAGGACTGCCGCCCCGCTGGCAGGGGGTAACATGGTTCGATAAAGGGTGATAGTGAAATGTGTTCGACTGCCGAAGATTGGGAAGCGTTATGTTAAGATTGATTTCGATTTCACTTTCTTCTCTTCTTTCATCTTTGGCGTTCTGCCGAACATCTCAAGGCTAGCACACACCAGCTCGAAGCACGCGGCGAAACGTCTCGCGCTACAGGACCCAGGGATTCAGGGTTCAATCCTCATCCCTACCCGTTTCGATCTGGATGAGAATCGTACCGGCGTGCGGTCGTGTATCCCCACTGCGTGGTGCGGGTTAAAGGAGCTGTGCAACGATTTTCACATCAAAAGAATTAGCATCTTTTATCGTTTAGATTGTTTAATTGTTTATCTTGTCATAAAGGACAGAGAAGGCTTCTTCGTCCTTCGAATTGTTGCGTTCCCGCCGCGTAATCGCGAGACAAAAATTAGGAAATCTCCCGATCTGTAACCGCTAGCGGTGGCCGTGAGAATTACGTGGCCTAATGTGAAAAGCGGAGTTGTAAAAAAAAACAAGTTTTGTGCTCAATAAAATGTAATTTTTCTATATATGCTGTCGCTTAAACATAAATATAAATGCTTAAAAAAAAAACTGGTATTATCGACAAAATTTTTATTACACGAAGTTTCAACAACGCCATCTATCCGATGTTACCAAAGTTCAAGTTCAAATAATTAGTCTGAACTTGAACTTTGAACGTGAACTCTATCTGCTTCCGCGAGGAGTTGCCAGAAGCCGGACGGCAGCAGAGCCGGATGTTGCAAGCACCTGGTAACGTGGTCACGAGCGGGTGAGTTGTCCCTGCTGAGTCCTGACTGATGGCGTTAGAGAGAGAACTTCATCGAAACCCCGCGCGTTTCCCTTTCACGTTAGAGAGCACGTGACTCGGAAGATGGTGAAGGAGTTGAGAAGTGCCAAAAACTGCAATCTTCGTCATTTTTTTAATAAAAACTGGGAAAATAGTCTCCCTGTGTAGCTGCTAATGTCTGTTTAAGAGTACGCTTCATGTCTTGACTGTCAGTGTCCATTTTCCTTTCAACGCCGACTGAGATCTGTTGTGCTGCTTCCTAATGGTCTCTCTCTCTCAAAAAAAAAAAAAAAAAAAAAAAGATTCTGGTTCATCTCCAGACGACTTTCGTTGTTTCCGGAGGTTGGGGCGGTTCTCTCTGCTGTTGGTAACTCTGCCACCTCGGTTTCCGTTGCATGTGTAGCATGGAACGATGTTTTCTCCTTGGTTGCCAGCTTTGCATCTCTTGTCACATATTCTGCCACAGTGGCGTCCATGATATGTACATTTGGCTCTTCGTCGGCAATGAATGCCCCTTGCGACTCTGGCGTACGTTTTCACACATTCGTCACCACTAAGTGGAGATCGGACACACTACGGATATTTCAGAACTCGACACACCCGTTTTATCTGTCCTCTGCGTTGACAGGGTAAACGAAGCTGTGTAAGACCTGGAATGACTATCAGCGTTGTTCCGCCAAATATGTTCATCTGGTGGGGTATGTCTTCGATGTTTACGCCTTTCTTCAGTTCCATTCGGGCTAATCTGGTTGTCGACTTCACACTTTCGAAACCTTCAGCATGCCACGTTTTTTTGCAAGTTCAGTCATGTCTCCGTAGGGCTCCAAGACCTTACGTACGCCCTCGTCGGGTACATGAAAGGGCACCCAGTGCAGTCTAAGGCGCACTTCAGTGCTATTAGGGTCAAGCACCAAACAATTCAGGTTCTTTACCTGGAGTTCCTTGGCTTCCATTACCCGCTGTTTTTCCGCTGTAGATCTAAGGGATAGCATCCACACGTGATTCATCTGGTAGGATCCAAAGGCGGCGATTTCTTTCAAGACATCGCACCTTCCAAGCTCTTCTCTGAAGTCCTCGATCCGGTATGGTCGTTCTCGGAGATCAAAGTGTAAAAATGAAAAACGTTAACAAATTTTTTGTACTGCCGAATTAGAGCGCAGCTCTTAAGGGGGAGTAAGGGAGGTTACGGAGAGGATGGTATTCCCCTCCTCCCCCCAAACCCTCCCCTCCTCCTCCTTCCCTGCTCCTCCTCCTCTCCTGCCGCTGAATTTGTTTATGGGCTACGTTACACGCAGTCGTGACGTCATTTTCTCCACTAAATTTAGCGGTGAAACTGAATTGGTGTTGAGGTCACGTGATGTCAATTTCCCCGCTAAATTTAGCGGGACAATTTCCCCGCGCAACGTAGCGGGGAAGAAATTTTTCCGCTAAATTTAGCGGGAAAATTTCCCGGCTAACTTTAGCGAGAAAAGTTTCCGCGAAATTTATCGGGAAAATACCCCTCTAACATTGGCGGGGAAACGTCCCATAATGCAACGCGCGCGGTTTTACGCCGACGCCGACGGCAACGCCGAAACCGCCCAACCCGGAAACAGGCGCCTAACAGCTGCGCTCTAAAACACAGAGTTTAGCGCAGCACTTGCCATGATCAGCGGTAGTAGGACAACTTCGTATCCACCCTTAGAGGCAAAGGACGATGATCCGCGACCGTGGAAGGCCGTTGAAAGCGCTCCTTGGGAGATCATTCTTTTTCGAAAGTCTGACTTTCTCGGCGTCTCAGAGACGCTTTCCAACCCGACACTCCTACTCGAGGCCACTCAAGGTACGCTTGCACGACTTGGGGGCGAGCCGGACTTTATATGTTTATATGTTTCGCTATCCCGTTCCACCTTTTAATGGCGAACCTTAAGCGTCCTCCACGTTTTAACGGAAAAAGCGGGTGCGTTAAATAGGAGTTGCCCTGTTCCGTTTCGCAAAGTTTAAAAATCAACATGGTGATTTTCTTAACCAACGTCAACATCACCTGTGATGTTATACTGCCCTCACCGCTTCGCACTGTAGCCAAAGAAATGAATTTAGCACGCTGTTCAGCGTCAGCGAGCAGGCGCATAGGAAATCCAAGATAATTTATCCCGTCTCTTCCGCCATCTATAGGGCGGTGGAGTTGCGGATACTGAAGTATTTGCAGCCTCCCTCGTTCGCTTTGGCTCAGCCCCCTTCTCCCTTTGCAAGGTTAGGCTAACACGGAGTATAGTCAGTATAGTCGGTATAGTCATGCGTAGCTATCAAGTAGACGTCGTCGATGGCGATGCAGCATTAGTGGCGTCGTCGTTAAAGCCTCGTTCACTGTCCAACTGCCTCGCCAGAATCCGCCACTGCTTCGCGTGGAACAGGAGCTGGACGACACACTCGCTTTGCCGAACCCGGTGCAGCTCACGTTCCAGGGGATCGATAAATTCCCGCTCCAGGCTCGTGCCAAGCTCGTACTGTGAGAAAGACGAGAAGGAAAACTTTCAGCCTTTACACTCTGATGAAAAAGCAAGACCAACGGAGCTGTACAATGAAAAGTAATGGCCGGCCGCAAGTCGGCAAGCCAGAGTGGAAAGGCTGCCGCAATCTATGAGCGACTGCGGCAACTAGATACGTGGCTTTCCGCCGTCGCTCATCGATGGCGGTAGGTGTCCAGAGTTTTGTGTCTTCACTTATTTGCGGGGGACACAATCCAGGGGAAACTAACCCTTAACAGCTCCGCTGTAAAAAGTGAGTTCGTTGTTACTTGTCAGTGCTACACTGTCTCAGCTACCACAAAAGCCGTATATAAAGACACTTTGGTCATTCATTGGGAAGTACAGGAGGCAAATGAGGAGGCGCCATTGGCAGAGAGCGGACTGGACGTGTTCCAGGGCGTCTTCACAGATTCAAAGGTCGCCAGCCAGAAGCCTGGTGGTGTCCGTGAGAAACGACATTAATAAGTGCGTCAGAGTAACTCTCGGTGACTAAAAAAAAATGGTGCACGTGAGTTTTCGATCACGGTCATGAAAAACCAAATTATAGGAGACTGATCGACGGGATCCATACGCAGCCGCCGAGGGCCGGGAAAATGCCGTCCGACGGAGCAAAACAGCGTGGAGCGACCCATTCGATTATTTCATCTTTTTGCATAATCCTGATCGAAAGGACCACGTGCACTATATTTTCAATCATGAAGAGTTACTCCTTTTAACTCTTACACACTCATTAAAAGTGTTTTTCGATACCACCGTTAGGGGATTACTTTCGGCTTCTGGTTGGTCAAGCCTTCCATCTGCGTCTGGTGCACACCCTGGCTCTGCCCGCTCCTCCCCATTGACCAAACGCTCTCTATATACCCCTTTCGAAAGCCACATTCTGATTATTAGAAAGTCGGAATCGCTGCACAATGGCGGAACAACCGACACTGTGAAACGTGCAAGTCATTGTGTCAAAGAGCGAACGTCACGAATCAAACGTTGTCGAAAAAGCAACGTCACTGCGCTCAACCCCTTTTTATGTGCGAGTGCTTTTGCTTTCTAATCCAACCAAATTCATAAAGTGTGCCGTGACGTTGTGGGTTTGGTCGGCCATTTTGCACGGGTTCCACAGCTGCCAACAGAGGGCCGTCTTTCGAAAGCTGTCTATGTGCGGCTCAGGTACCCACCAGCTCAGAGGACGTGCAGCGAAAGCTCGAGCTGCAGAACTCAAGGATCTCGGGTTCAATCCCCACCCCTGCCCGGTTTGATCTGGATGAGCATCGTACCGGCGCGGGGTCGTGGATCACTACTGCGTGGTGAACGTTAAAGACCCCAGGCTTGCAGTTGTACTACACTGGCTAAATATTCCCATCTACAGCTGAGACACGCCCATTTTGGCAAACTTCGGATGTATAAACATACACACAACACAATATTTTCGCCACCGGACGAACAATGAACGAACACTTGTCAAAAAGATGTAACATGCACCTTTGTCAAAAATATGCACGGTCAAGGTGCAGGCGAGCTGGTGTGGTATTAATATTAATCATGTTTAAACCATTGAACTGGGAAATAAACTTGAACTTGAAGACACGCTGTCTTTCCACTTTCTTCTGTCCCTTCTACTTCGTTTTCCGGTGTTTTGTTTTTAGTTTCAGGGTTGAAATATTGTAATAAATACACCTTTTGTTATCATTCTTTT